TTTTATGTAGTATAATTTTGTGAGATTTATGTGGTTTTTGTTGGATATTTAGTTTTACTCTGATCCTTATCATCAAAATTATTTCATACTGAATAATTTTATCTTGTTTGAGTTAATGTGTAATTCTCATGCACGCTAATCGAGTTATCAAATTCTACCTCCACGTTATAACAACCGTCAATTACCACATACATTTCTGCACCTACGATGACTTCATGGTGTGTGGTGCTTCAATGTCATTTACAACTTGGGTTCAAGACAGCAATGGGGAAAAACATCCTTTTACAGAGTATTCTCGTGTTGTACACAGTAGACCACTGACATGGTCATTACTGATATAGAGGACAGGAGCTAAAGAGAAAAGAGTACAACTTTTCGCGGTGTGGAAACATTAGGGTCTTTTTGCATTGAATAAATAAGAGCAGAAAAATCAACTTACAAATATTTATTTGTAGATTATGTAGATTATAGATAAGTAAATAGGATATACAGATTTCAGAATTATTGCCACTGCGAAAACTTCCACACTTCGATAATAATTTAAAGGGTCACAACGCAAACATTTCCACACGTAAAAATATCCTCTTTTGCAGCATATAGCTTATGATAGTATTTTCTTTTGTAGAAGATTGTACTTGAATGTATTAATCCAAAAATAAGTCCAAGGCAACTAAAAGCATTTCCTATGATATTTTGTTAATAAATACATTTCAGTCATAATAATTTCATTTTCTGATAATACCTTTGTCAGTCTACAAATCTAACCAAATCAGCAACTTGGCCCATAAATTGATATGCTGATTACCTGTAGAACTCATTATAATTGTATTCCGAAAATCCTTTTTAGTAATAATGAATAATATGTTTGCCACGTTGTACAATGTCCTCTCCATGAAGTTTCTAGGATATTACAAATAATATTAAGGTATACCACAAACAGAACCAGGTCCTATTAAGTTATACGTCAGTTTTTCCAAATTTTAAAATTTCACCAAAAGAACTTGTCTCCTCTTTTTACAGAAGATAAAAATGATCTTGTAAGAAATTCAGAAAAACAGGACCTTGTATTTGAGATGATTGTCACATGTATATATATCTGCTGCAATAGGTGCAGTTTTTACTATCCAACATGGTATTTTATTCTCCCCTTCATTTTCTCATGTTGATATTCAAAGTTCAGATTAGTTTTATAGATTGCGCTCCAGTTTTGCTATTAATTCTATTTATAGTGTTACCAACAACAGTTTGATGTCATTAAGAACATTTCATTCACTGTATATGTAGATTTTGTCGTTTTTCGTGATTTTATGTAGATCTACCGTGTTTCCATGTATGTGTGTACATGTATGTACATCTCCATAATGGGTTTTGATTTAAGTTAAACCTAATTAGCTTTAACAGCAACATTTGCTAGGAAATATCAAGTTTTTATCAAAGAAAAATGTCAAGTTTTCTAGATGAAAGAGTTAAAATACTGTATGAATGTGATAAATCGCTATTAAGATAAGCTGCGGCTCTGCCCCTGGATAACAAACTGATAAATCGGAGGGGAAAATGCAGATTTAATGTATTTGGTGAAACTGTTTTTTTTATATACATCTTCTATGTAATATTGCCCTAAATGACTGGGCATACTGCAGCTGTGTCACAGCCTTAGAGAGGTGCTTTAAAAAAAATATAAATAGTTTGTTAGCCGTGAAACCTATGTTTGGCAGGCCTAGAGAGTGAAAGTTTCTGGTACTGCGACTGCTGCCAGGTTTCTGGTACATGGGGCACACTTATCACTTGTCTGTGTATACTTGTCTCTTCATTGCCGAGCTTGTCACTTTCATCATCCCTGCTGTCATTACAAATGAACAAAACTATGCTGACATAGCGGTTTTATGTTCAGCACACCGGAGGGTCAATGTATGTATGTATATACAGTATACATTTCTCTTGGTCTAGATCTACATTGCATATATTATACCTACAGGCTAAAAATCCATACAACATATGACCTGGAATATTATCTAGATGATCATTTTTAATGGAAAAGGGTTCTTTATAATTATGTATGTTTGACTACAGAAGTAAAAGATCATTACATACCTCATCAGTTTGGATTATAAGGTGAAACTTAAAAAAGAAAAATGTACTTGTGAAATTTTTCATTTTGGATGATTTATATTTATCTGAGTTTACTGAGAAATAGGTAATCAAATCAGTTCAGTTACTTCTCAGCAGTCACAGGAAATCTGATATCCCATTTAAGTCATATAAATTGCATTTGAAAGTTAAAGGATTTTGGATGTAATAAATTGATCAATGATGATTGTACATTTTGAATTTTTCCTTAAAAAAAATATCCTTGAGATTTTTAGGTGCACACAACCTAAGTATTTTAATGGCATCGCTGCAAAACTTGATTAAAAAAATTCAAGGAGACATATAGTGCTGTCATTGTCATATATCAGAATTAGTACTAAAAACAAGTGTTTATCTACCTATTTGAAAACTGCCACTTAGTAATTCAGTACAAAAGCAGAATTATCTCACAATCTTGGTAGTACCGGGTGTATGTTTGTGTCCTTGTCAAAATGTACTTATTTTAAGAAACAACTGGGGGGTGGAGATCCAATGTCCCTGTAAGGAAGTCAGTGTTCCATAGTGTCGGTAGGGATCCTGGGGTGGATACCTAACAACTGGGGGGTGGAGATCCAATGTCCCTGTAAGGAAGTCAGTGTTCCATAGTGGCGGTAGGGATTCTGGGGTGGTTACCTAACAACTGGGGGGTGGAGACCCAACGTCCCTGTAAGGAAGTCATTGTTCCATAGTGGCGGTAGGGATCCTGGGGTGGTTACCTTAATGGTATTCAACAGTGCTCATCAGGGAAAGCAGAGCAAAGGAAACAAGAAATGATGAGCAACAACACCACTGAATCCGGTACAAAATGTATTGTTTGATTTACAACTATTTAAAGAAAGTTAAAATTTGAATGCTGGTATTGTCATAATCAGTTTGAGAATGTAAGCACTTTTGTGAAACAGCTCAGTACTTAATAGCTATTTATTGATACTGGATTAGAAAATGATGTTTTATATTTCAAGAAAAAATATATATTGACTTGGTGGACCATTGAATCTGTATTCACCGGAATCTTAAATTACAGGAAACCTATAACAAATATGAAAATAATCAATGGTGTATCACAAGGAGTAGTGTTGGGTCCTTCTTTTGTTTTTGAAGATCTGATATTACAACTCAAATTGGAAACAATAAATTTGGGTCATCCATATTTGATATTCGGTATAAACAGTAGGAAAACCTGTAATGTGGAGTTACAGTGTAATTATAACATGATGAGTGTTCATGTGAATAAAGCTTGATGTACATTGCATTTTAGTTGCCTGTAAGCAAAAGTTGGGTTACGTACTACACTAAAAAATCTTTGTTTCTAAGTTATGTATAACATGCACATAAACCTCGATGTTAAAACAAAGAACCCATTGCCAAGGTACACCGAGTAATTACTGTCAAAAAGATTTTAAATGTAACAATTGAGGGGCCATCTTTAGAAATGGACGTTAATTAAACAACTATTTTAATTCCAAAAGTTATTAATTTTATTTTGGCTGGAAACATACTTCAGTTTTCTACAATGTGTGCATTCAGTAAAAAAAAATATGGATTTCACAATTCAAAATAAGTAAACACCTTTTTGTGCTGAATTAAACAGAGGATGGTATGCCATGACTTGAACTGTTACCAAACGATGTCATACTGATTTATCCAGTGTAGTAATACAAATTGAAACTTAGAATGCAAGATTCCAATAGTAGAATTCAATTATTAAACTTGGGTATTTAATTTGATTCCAGATAATGTGCCTAAGTAGGGGAGGGTTTTCCTATTTGATGTTAAATCTTATTTAAGAACGTACAAACAATGAATGAATGTACGAAATTTTATGTTATACCACATAAGATTGGGTATGTAGGACGAAGATAGGATTGATAACCAGGTCGTGATATGTGGAAGTGATGAGGACACGGGAAATCACCAAGGAAACGGTTTAGTATACGTACAGACCACAACCTGTGGTTAGGAGCATGGATGAGTAGATGATTGACTTGTTATTTAGGGTGTTTTATAATGGGTTTTGTTACTGATCAATATTAGATACCATTATCACATGAAGAGTGTATACATGAATGTACATATGTTACTGTGGTTTATGTACTGTGGGCTCTGATACCATCTGTTGAGTACCTCATCAAGGGTTAGTGCTGGTCATGTCTAGATGTCATAAATCACAAAAAATAATGTCAGATCATCACAAAATATCTAGTTGTATTATTACAAGGTCAGTAGGTCAAGGTCACTGTTTGTGCAAGTAATGATTGGGTTAGGAGAAGGATTTTGGGTCCCTTTTGTTTACTAATACATTTTTTGCAAGGATCATGCACCTGATCATTGACAAGTTGTACGTAGTTGGTACGTCACTTTGTCAGACAAGTTGTATGTAGTTGGTACGTCACTTTGTCAGACAAGTTGTACGTAGTTGGTACGTCACTTTATCAGACAAGTTGTACGTAGTTGGTACGTCACTTTATCAGACAAGTTGTACGTAGTTGGTACGTCACTTTGTCAGACAAGTTGTACGTAGTTGGTACGTCACTTTGACAGACAAGTTGTACGTAGTTGGTACGTCACTTTGTCAAATAGTGTTGCTGGGTAACATCAGCAAGTGTTTTTTTGGTGTGTTTTTTTCAAAGATGGTTGGCTTGCTATCTTGGCAAATAGTGTTGGCATGTTACATATTGGCCTGTAGTGTTGTTAGTGTGTCACATTGACAAGTGATTATAATATTCTAAAAAGTTGGAACATCACTTTTTTCTAAGACGGTTAGTAAGTGTAAGTACTATCGTCACACCATATTGTAGAAGATGGAGAGTGAACTTATGATAAGGGTTCTAGATGTATATTTTGTTTTGATTATTGTTTCTGTCTGTTACCAGGCCTGAAGGCATCAGAGAGTGATCTTGAGAAGATGAAGTGTTCCAAATGTGATTTCCAGGCCTACTACCTACAGCAGTACCAGACCCACATAGCGTCCCACACTGATGACGTCCACAAGTGTAAATGTTGCCACTACGTCACATTTGACATGAACGATCTCCTTGCTCACTTTAAGGTAAATTTATATCTATATATAGTGCTAGTCTCCATTTCCTCTTATGATCTCTTTCGTTTTTAGCTCACCTGGCCTGAAGGGCCAAATGTGAGCTTATGCCGTACTGCAGCGTCCGTCGTCCGTCCGTCAACTTTTTCTTTTGAACAACTTCTTCTGAAGGACTGGAGGACCTAGGGTCATGATATTTAGCCAGTAGGTACCTGAGATGAAGTGCTATAAAGTGTCGACATTAAAATGACCTTGACCTACTTTCAAGGTCACTGGGGTCAGATATGTTAAACATTTCAAACAACAATTTCCTAAGAACCATTTGGACTAGAGTCATGATACTTGGGTATGTTTTGAAGACCAGCAGTGCAAATATTTTTCTCGATTACAGTAATGAAGTCAAAGGTCAACTTTAAGTGCTAGTCAGGGGTCAAATGTCAACATGGGTTAAAAGCTTTAACAATCTTTTTCTCAAGTTCCATCAGGCCCAGGGTCAGGATATATGGCCAGTGAGTACCTGGGATGGAGTGCTATAAAGTTTCCTCATTAAAATGACCTTGACTTATTTTCAAGGTCACAGGGGTCAAATATGTTAACAATTTCAAACACGATATCCTAAGAACCATTTGAACTAAAGTCATGATACTAGGGTATGATATGTAGACCAGCTGTGTGAATTAATTTCTTTATTACAGTAATGAGGTCAAAGGTCAACTTTAAGTGCAAGTCGGGAGTCAAAGGTCAATGTGGGTAAAAAGCTTTAAAATTCAAATTTCAAATTTCAAACAAAAATATCTTCAGAACTGTTTAAGAGGTGTTAAAATGTCTTGTGTTCTAGTTACCAAATTTGGTCTTAATTACCTATATGTCAGTTTCATGTAACAAAAGAAACAGGTGAGTGATACAGGCCCTCTGGGCCTCTTGTTGTTTTTAATTTTCAAATCATTTTTTTTGTTGAAGTTATGTTATGAAGGTAAGTCACAACACTTCTTAAAGTTCTGTATTTACTCTTATAATGAGTTAAGAAAAATTGTTAAATACAAGGTACATTAATTTCTGAAACAATGTTTAAGAAACAATTGAACAAATAATACATTTTGCAACTGTTGGTCAGTCTTGAAAACTTCCATGTGTACCAGATATTGGCAGAAATTACCAATCAAAATACATACAATTCGATTGGACAGAGACATATACAGATTTGACCAATACAAACTTTTGTTTAGTGTTTGTAAAACCTATTTGAGGCTTGGTTTCCTGTTGTGTAATGTAACCCAGAGCAATCTGGATCATTGCAAATGTCAGGTTTACTGATAAAACCGTAATCAACCATAAGGTCAGCCTGTTATCAACCATTACGTCACTGTTGCATTAGAAAACTACATATTTTGTGACCCTTTCCCATTTGTATTAATTAAATAATTTAAAAATTGAGATGACAGTGTACAATAATTATTAGTCATAATTAATTACTGCAGTTAATGTCAAGCTAATCAGTAAGAAATTACATGACGTGTGTAATAAGCAAAATTGCATTAATCATTTTTGTTCTATGAAATTAAGTGCCCAATTATGATAATTTACTTATTTTTTTATGCAAAACCCAAAATATTTTACTAATTGTTGACAAATTTTAATGAGATGCCATACATTGTTGTAGTGTTTCTGTAACAAATTGAAACCTGCCTAAAGAACACCTGTCTTTAAAGGCCATTCCATCTAAAGAACATCTGTCTATAAAGGCCATTCCATCTAAAGAATACCTGTCTATAAAGGCCATTCCATCTAAAGAACACCTGTATATAAAGGCCATTTCATCTAAAGATCACCTGTCCATAAAGGCCATTCCAACTAAAGAACACCTGTCTATACAGGTTGTTCCATCTAAAGAACACCTGTCTAAAGGCCATTCCAACTAAAGAACACCCATCTGTAAAGGCCATTCCATCTAAAGAACACCTGTCTATAAAGACCATTCCATCTAAAAACCACCTGTCTATAAATATAAAGGCCATTCCACCTAAAGAACACCCGTCTATAAAGGCCATTCCATCTAAAGAACACCTGTCTAAAAGGCCATTCCAACTAAAGAACACCCCTGTCTATAAAGGCCATTTCATCTAAAGAACACCTGTCTATGAAGGCCATTCCTCCTAAAGACCACCTGTCTGTAAAAAGCACAATTGTAAAAAGCACAATTCGAACCTTAAGACCACCTGTCTATAAAGACCATTCTACCTGAAGACCAACTGTCTATAAAAAACATTCAGCCCAAAGACCAGCTGTCTTTAAAGACCAATAAAGATTACTTGTCTATAAAAATCACCATTCAATCTAACCTACAATGTACTGCATCATACCTGGAATTTCCTTGGGCTAATTATAGCACCACTGAAACGAAATGTCCCTTACTGAAAGATACATTGTCAAATAATAATTTAAAAATATTTCCATAATAAGTGTGGACTAGACTTTAAGGTTTGACAAGTTATTCAGATAAAATTGATTTTGTCAGACCAATTTGTTCTAGCAGATCATTCCACAGGAAAATATTGTCTGATAAATAATCAGTTGATTCCCTTTTAGGGTGTCCAATTTTATAGCTGTTTCACAATAATTGGCTCTAGGAAAATTGATTGGAAAAAAAAATAGATATGCATGAAATAAACCATAAATCCAGGCAAATTGCAAACACTTCTGGTACAGTGCTGTACCTATAAAGATCGTCTCTAGTAAGATTTTCGTTGAAACTAATGAACATGTGGGGCACTTGAGAAACTGCAAAAATAAAGATAAGTGCACTAGTACTGTACTCTTTAACCACATGTTCACTTTCAAATCCTATATGCACCCGCATCTTTCTTGGCAACTTTTAAATCTCCTTGCCCAATGGACCAAGTAAGATAATACCATGATGGCATTTGTACAGATTTGACTGAAGTTAACCTTGAGCATTGTTTAGCCTACAGGAGCTCAACTTTGCACACACACAAAAAGAAGAGTGTGGCGCCCCCTAGGGGCGGAGTGGAGGGCCCATTGGGAAACTAAAAGTAAAACTTTTAAAATCCCACTCATTTAGTGCACTCCAGGTTTTTTTTAACTAAAGCTGGTCTGGAGCATCCTTTGACCATGGGAACTCAATTTTGTGGAAATGAGACAAATGCATCCATCAATTCTACCAGGAAATAACCTGGTGTCCAGCCCTACTCCAGCTCCAGGGTCTGGCCCCACCCCAGGCACTTGAGTACCAGTGTCATAACATGTTTGTTGTATAAAAGAAGAGTTTAGCTCCCTTTGGGGCTGAGGGGCAAGACCCAAAACAGGATCAATTAAGGAGAATATGTTTATTAGGTTGAATGATAGTTTAAGATTATACTTTAAAAATCTGCAATAAAAAATCTTGGAAAATTCTTTTTCTGTATTTCAATTTGTGTTGTCAACTGGTTTCAGCTTTTACACAACTTAGGAAGCTTGCAATTGGCCATTTTCTTCCTTGACTACCTGATTATGTATCAAAATGTAATGGTATGCAGATAACTGACTTTTTAATAGCATAATAGCAAATTCTATATTTCTATGATGCCTATCAATGTTTGAAGATTGTGCTGTGCTATAATTTACACTTTCTGTAGGTCTGAAGGTTTTGGCTGATATAAATATGGTTTGTTTTAGGTTACACTTTCTGAGGGCATTTACCGATACAAATATGGTATATACGGGAGGAGAATAGGAGAGAGAATAGGTTGTACTTGTGCTAAGACTGCATGGTGGTTTACAGTCACTTAGTGGCACTTGTAGGACTGAAATTTGATCCAAGGCTGAATATCGCCACCATGTGTAAGATATGCGGTCGCATGCTCACAAAAACAGAAAGCGATTATGTGACATGAAGTAATTCTATCCAGCATCATTGTATGTGGTGTATGAACAGAATTATAGGTTAAAATGCCCATCGTTATCACGCTGGATATCTGCTTATGTCACACACGCCTCAAACTGCACATGGGACAAGCAGCGCAAGACAGCACACGTACGGTAAATGTCATTCAGACTTGAGGGCAATAAAACAGTTTGAAAGATAATTGTATTATTCTATTTCTAAAACACACTGTACAATAAGGACATTGCTCACATTTTAGCCCATCTGATCAATATAAGGTGACACGTCGGTTATTAATTCTATATGTAACATATAAACACACAAGTACTGTGTAGAACTCTTTCTTTCATACTTCATCACACACACACACACACATGCACACACACACCTTCCCCCCCCCCCTACTATCACTGTTGTCATATGACAACCTTCCCCCCCCCTACTATCACTGTTGTCATATGACAACCTTCCCCCCTACTATCACTGTTGTCATATGACAACCTTAACTATCTCTGTCATCTTTTGCAGTTGTTTGCAACTAGCATCCTAACCAATCAAACTAAATCCTATAAGGCTGAAGGCTGAATTTGACAAAAGAAAACGTTTTGTTGTCAAAATCAGATATTACATCCGATGTTTGATAAAAAATATTCTTGTATAACCACTGATTCATACTCATTGTTTATAAAAGACAGCTTTCATTGTATATAGACTATGTATCACTTAGCCACCTAAATCCATGTCCAGATATCTGACAGCTTTCATTGTATATTGACCATGTATCACTTAGCCACCTAAATCCATGTCCATTTACCCATATCTGACAGCTTTCATTGTATATTGACCATGTATCACTTAGCCACCTAAATCCATGTCCAGATATCTGACAGCTTTCATTGTATATAGACTATGTATCAGTTAGCCACCTAAATCCATGTCCATTTACCGTAGCTGTTGATTTCACACACTTGTTCTTCATTACTTGGAATTCCTTCAGCGAACAGAAATGTGCAACAATTACAAAACCCTCAAAGAATTTGCGATATCTCCTCCACAATGCATCACATACAAACTGCAAGGACATTTGTACGAGACCAAAAATAAAATTAATGTCATCACTTAAGTCAGACTTGATGTCAAAATTATTTTCTTGCAGCGCTTAGCAAAAATTTCATCAGAAAGATCACTTGCTGGAGATTATAAAAAAAAACTTCTTGCCAATTTCCACATTTTTAACAGCATGTATATTGTATGTGAAGTATTTCCTGTCAGCTCTTTCTGTGTATTGCCATGAAAGTATGTGGCGCTCACCTGGCAATGAGACCAATCCTTCTACAGCTGTGATGAAGTCATAACAAAATGGCATATGGTGATGATTGACTTTTTCCTATGCATACAGCTTGGTCATGAAAAATCCAAGATGGATAAAAATGTTTTCCACTTATAGCTAAATAACAGTCAGCATTGTGAGTCAGAAGAAGCACATTGAATGGAAAATACTTGCTCAGTAGAATGGTTTGATATTGGATTACATTGCCAATGGACATTCCACTGATTCAATGCTGTAGCTTGTCAGTCTGCATGTCTATCTCTACATCTGTAGAAAAGTTTGTTTGGGCAACTCCTGAACTACCAGACCTGGTGGGTTTTTTTCAATTTCAACTTTTTTTTCTCTCAAAGTGATTGCCCCTTTTTATACTTTTTAAGCCTTATACAGAGAGAGTTACTTCCCCTGTTGATTTTTCATTTCATTATTATTTCAGGTGTACTGGTAATCAATGCAATTGATTTATGTCACTTTATCTGAACTTCATAGTTTGAAGAATATTTCTACCATCTTGAGATAAATCTATGTTATATTGCAATATAGTACAGATTAAGAATTTACAAAATATTTCTCACAATTGTTTACCCCTAATTATACTAGGGTATAAAAAGGTGTACAGAGATTCTGAGCCACTCCCTAGCCTTTACATGAGGGAGTGGGGGCTGTTAGTTAGCATGTGGCTCTAACGTTTGGCAGTAGTGACCTAGTTATAAGTACATGGGTCTCTTAACTAGGTCACCATGTACTTAAGTTTATGTAGACTCATTTATTGCTTGAATGAATGTCCCAATGTTTATATTTTGTCTACAGGTTTTTTTCCTCTATTTCAACAGGAAAACCATCCGAGATGTATTTGCACCGAATGTGAGTTTATGGCAGAACATGCATATATCATCAAGAGACATATGATGCGACACAGTGCCAATGGCTGTACATGCGACTTGTGTGGGAGGGTGTATAAGGTGGGTGTCTACTTACTTGTACATGTATTTTATGTATGTTGTAACTGTGTGTCCTTGTTTAACCTATGAATTGAGTTGCCAGGCCTCTCAGATACCTACCAAATCTATGATGTGGTCCTGTTAGCGAGTTCCTAGGCCTCCGATACCTACCAAATCTATGATGTTGTCCTGTTAGCGAGTTCCTAGGCCTCCAATACCTACCAAATCTACAATATGGTCCTGTTAGCGAGTTCCTAGGCCTCTAATACCTACCAAATCTATGATGTGGTCCTGTTAGTGAGTTCCTAGGCCTCCGATACCTACCAAATCTATTATGTGGACCTGTTAGCGAGTTCCTAGGCCTCTAATACCTACCAAATCTACAATGTGGTCCTGTTAGCGAGTTCCTAGGCCTCCGATACCTACCAAATCTATCATTTGGACCTGTTAGCGAGTTCCTAGGCCTCCGATACCTACCAAATCTATGATGTGGTCCTGTTAGCGAGTTCCTAGGCCTCCGATATCTACCAAATCTATCATGTGGACCTGTTAGCGAGTTCCTAGGCCTATGATACCTACCAAATCTATCATGTGGTCCTGTTTCGCGAGTTCCTAGGCCTCCGATACCTACCAAATCTATGATGTGGTCCTGTTTGCGAGTTCCTAGGCCTCCGATACCTACCAAATCTATCATGTGGACCTGTTAGCAAGTTCCTAGGCCTCCGATACCTACCAAATCTATCATGTGGACCTGTTAGCAAGTTCCTAGGCCTCCGATACCTACCACATCTATCATGTGGTCCTGTTAGCGAGTTCCTAGGCCTCTGATACCTACCAAATCTATCATGTGGTCCTGTTATGTTAGCGAGTTCCTAGGCCCCGATACCTACCAAATCTATCATGTGGACCTGTTAGCGAGTTCCTAGGCCTCCAATACCTACCAAATCTATCATGTGGTCCTGTTAGCGAGTTCCTAGGCCTTCGATACCTACCAAATCTATCATGTGGTCCTGTTAGTGAGATCCTAGGCCTCCTCTTTTAGATAAAATTAGCCTTTTTAAGAAATTTCTGTCTTGTCTAAATGTATTATAGATAATTCAACATACTAAAAACTGGGTGTGTTGGCTTAGTGCAATGACTTTCCTGTTTGTAACTATGGGGGAAGGTTGTTAGATCCAGAGGGAGGAGACACCTTAATCTTTCCATTCCGCAAATCTGGTCCGGATTCCGTACCAGATGTCCTTACTTGACTCGCCCCCTGCACATATAACAAAATGGCGGATTATTAATGTACTTTTTAGACGAGGTGTAACTGCTGCAAGAAATAAACAGGTAACCTTAATTGAACAAATATTCTTATTGTTACATGTTATTGTTGATAGACCTACATATCTTCATTTTCGAAGCATGATGACTAACTGGCAGTTGATCATGACTGAGAAATCAACCAACGATAAGATTCCTTGTAATCAAAACAATGTCGTAGTGCAGTTCCCAAAGTCGTTAAGTTTTTTACTAAATACGAGTAGCTTTTATCAAGACTTGTGTTAAGATATTCATATTTACTTCCATAAATCTCAATAAATAATTGGTTAAGCATTTACAAGTGTTCGTACCGAACTAAGTTGCCGCCATATTGTTTATATTGGATATCACCAAATGCAAACATGATGAAAAATGTGTACTCTGCACCTATAAAAATATTTCTTTCCAACTGATTTTAATGACAATTAATTGGATTACACAACTGTCATGTGATATAACCAGCTAAACATAAGACAGGTAACACCAAAGTCTTGTCGTCTGTACACAACAACGGAGACAAGGAAGCACATATTGTTGTTGTGTGTACACGAGGTACGGAAAGAGTTAACTCATTCACCCCTGAAGACACATTCACTCCTGTAATTCAAAGGTTGGAATAGTTCATTATGAAATTTCAGGGGTAAATGAGTTAATATTATACAGGAAATACAGACTTGTGATGAGGAATGCTTGCCTTTAGATCTACATCAACAGGGAAATGTAGAATGTCAGCAGAAAAGAAAAGTTGCATATCCTTTTTGCGTCATACAGATTTTTTATATGAACATATTACACTTACTCACTGTTGTACAAACAGACAGCTTTTGTTTTTCTTTTCTGTATACATGTCAAACTGACAGAACAGATCTTCACACATACTTTAAACCCCTTAAACCTTAACTGTTGACTATTAAAAAAACATTGAAGTAGGACTACAATAGTTAACTGTACAAAATAGACTCTGATTACGTTAACTTTTTGAGAGAAGACAATCTAAAATATGTTCAAAGATTCTTTTGTTTGAAATTCGTAGAAATCCGCTTGAAACCAGCTGAATCAAATGTTGACGTAACTTTTATTGAGATCTGTGACTTGTGAAATATATTTGATATCAGTGTAATCATTGCTTTTTCATTTTGATTGAAGAAATTAATTTGCAGTTCTCTATAAGTGGTCAACAGTTAAATCAAACAATATTTAGCTCACCTCTTCGTCATCCTTCTGCCTGTGGTCAAATTTTCCTTTAAATGGTATATTCAAAAGAACCAAAAGGCCTAGAGTCATGATATTTGGCTTGTAGCTTTCTTTGATGGAGCCAAACAAAGTGTGCAAACAAAAATGAACTTGACCTGCTGCAAGGTCACAGAGGTCAAATCTATCATCAATTTCAAATGACCTTTTCTGAAGAACCAACAGGCCTAGAATCATGATATTTACCCGATAACAAAGTTTGCAAATGTCCAGAGTGATGTAATCTTTGCTGCAGCTTATGTTTTGACACTCTTTGATAAAAGTGTTGTTAGTCAACAGGTTTTGAATTAAAACAGAAAATACCCCATGGCCTCTTCTTTGAATCAGTGTTGTCTTACATGCAAGGTTTCTTTTCTTAACGAATTGGTTGTAAAATTTGCTGACATTAAGCTTATTTTAATCCTATCTAAACCTACTGTGATAAAAGAGTTTTTTGGGGTGATGTTATTAAACTGAGTATGAATGAGCACACTTTAAACTCTGCATAAATTATTAAATGTCTTTACATGAATGTATTGTTACAACTCTGATCTTGTCTTGAGGATCTAGTTGTTGATAAAGATCCCAAGTTTACAATATGTGGTGAGCTATATTCTTTGATAAACCCTATTCCCATGACATTGTTATAGACATTTCTCCTATATATAGATGTACAGACATGATAAACGATTGATGGTTGAATTTTCAGTAGCCTGAGTAGGGTTCATGTATAAATGATCTAAATGAAAAGGTTCAGGATTTACATTCACCTGCAATACACATTCCTCTGAAAACCAGACAGCTGTCATTGTCTGAATTGTAATTTATATAACATAGCTCTTCTTTTTCACAACTCCACACATGAGATATGGGATGATGTACATGTAGGCATGAATATATATTATACCAAATATACATCTCAGTAAATTACTATACATCTGTTTGGTCCACAGTTTGTGAGAAGACTATCTTACCTGTATTAGAATATTGACACAGCCCACAATATTATTAGATGTTAAATGTACATATTCTAGTGGTAATCTTATTTGACCATTTTTCATGATTGAAATATTGTGCTTATAAATGATTGCACAAATTGAAATCTCTGTATATTGTTTTCTTATATATATTGTGAGTGTCGTGACGTTTCATTGATGTGGTAATGTTTTAATTTGATAATGTGCTAAACTTTAGGGTATGGGGAAATTCATCACTGTCCACTGGTCAATTGTACTATTTCTAGAAAACGTGGGTACATCTGTGTACATATACATATATATATATGTATGGTAACCTGTTTCGCATTGCTTTCATTTCTCCGTATATTCTGATGAATCTTCTTACAAATATAAGTATAACAATATCTCAAAAAAATAAATACATATCATATTGTTTTTTCACTCAATGTCAAAGTCATGGTCACTATTACTGTATCAGGAGACATTTGTTATTGCTGTCAACTTTGATAGAAATTCAGACAAATATTGGCTTATAGGTATGGCAATGCATCATCATGCAAGTTCAAATTCAGGTTGTTGTGCTCAAGGTCATGGTCACTTACTATTTTCAGAAATTTAACGCATCAATTCAATGTGGCGATACTTCTAGTTCTCATTCAGGTCAATATTACTTTATCACTCCTGTAACTCAATGCATTTTGTGAAATGTCATACCATATACCTTGAACAAGTTCATATTTAAGGTTACCACACTCAAGGTCAAGGTCACTTGTTAATTTTGGAAACCATTTATCATTACTAAAGTAACTTCTTTAAAACTTCAGATAAGGGTAGTGTAAGTGAGGCGATTTGGCGTTGTCATGTCATCTGTGTCATCATTCATGAAAGACTTAAGTTTTTACAAATGCTTTTATCCATGGGTAAATGTTAATAATTTGAAACATCTATTTATATTTCCTGCATGTTTGTACATGCACATAAAAGGATGCATATTCATAGAATGCTAGCTATAAAGAGACATTATAAATTTTGACAGAGAATACATGACATGGCCTGGCACTCCCCTGTAATGTGCTGATGTATACATTTAATGACATCACACAACCAAATATGTATACACACCTTTTAATTATATTTGATTGATAACCTCGTGCAGGAGAAAAAGTGAAATACCACTTTATGTATGAGCTGTAGATGTGCAGTGGAGGATTAAGTGTTAGTTGTTCTGTATAGATAACAGCTAACATCTATCTTAATTTCCTTGCCCTATCTATAAACTTTTATTTTATGTATTTTAAAATTAAGATGGAAAGATTTCGAAAATTGTCATTTAAGATTATTTTTAGTGTTTTAAGGAAAAAATCTATAACATTTGTCCTGTGAGTACTTATTAGATTAGGAGATATATTTGTGAGCAATTGTATGGGCATATAAGTCTGCAACTAATTGGCCATGTCCTTCTATTTCTCAAGATATTGCACAATCTTTATTCAGATGTTTTCCTCTTCTTTAAATCGTGGTACAGCATTGTCAGTCATGCATCCTGAAAGTGTATGCCTGGGTAACTATTATCTGAACTGAATTATGTCTGAACTGGAATTTCGTAAAACGATGATAGATCCTTAATTTACGAAAACTTTATTACAGTTGTTACACCTGTTCTCTACAAAGTTGAATTTGATGTTTGTGTCTTTATCTGTGTTTATCCAGCCTTTTTTTTCCAGTTAAGTGTATCAAATAGTCTTGTTCATACCCATCCCTATTGAATTCATTTTGCTAGCAACTTCAGAACAGATTTTTATGCCCCCGTCATAAAATGGGGGGCGCATATAGTGCGGCCCATGTCCGTCGCATCCCGTCCCATGATCAAAGTGGATATAACATCCAGGGGTTTTGCTAGCTATTTTGGGAAAGGGCCCCTGAGCAGGATTTGGGGAAATATCCTCAGCGCTGAATTTGGTAAAAATTATTAAATTTCATCAGTGTTCCCGCATGTTGGGAAATTGGGAAAATATTGGGTCAAATTTTCAAGTACAAGTATGAGAATGCATCAAATTTGGTCCTTTTTAGCTCACCTGGCCCAAAGGGCCAAGTGAGCTTATGCCGTGGTGCGCCGTCCGTCCGGCGTCAATTTTTTACTTTAAACAACTTCATCACAATAACCAAAAGGCCAAGGGTACTGATATTGGGCATGTAGCATGCTGGGGTGAAGGTTAAGGGCTACCAAGTTTGTTCAAATGAACGACCTTGACCTACTTTTAATATCACAGGTGTCAAATGTCTTGAAAACTTCAAACAACTTCTTCTCAATAACCAAAACCCCCAGGGTACTGATATTGGGCCTGTAGCATGCTGGGATAAAGGGCTAATAAGTTTGTTCAAATGAATGACCTTGATCAACTTTCAAGGTGACAGGGGTGAAATGTCGTAACATCTTCAAACAACTTCTTCTCAATAACCAAAAGGCCCATGCAGGGTACTGATATTGGGCCTGTAGCAAATGCTGGGATAAAGGGCTACCAAGTTTGTTCAAATGAATGACCTTGACCTACTTTCAAAGTCACTGGGGTCAGATGTCTTTAAATCTTTAAACGACTTCTTCTCAATTACCAAAAAGCCAAGGTACTGATATTAGGCCTGTAGCATGCTGGGATGAAGGGCTACCAAGTTTGTCCAAATGAATGACCTTGACCCACTCTCAAGGTCACAGGGGTAAAATGTCTTTAAATCTTCAAATGACTTCTTCTCAATAACCGAAAGGCCCAGGGTACTGATATTGGGCCTGTAGCATGCGTGGATGAAGGGCTACCAAGTTTGTTCAATTGAATGACCTTTTCCCACTTTCAACCTTATGTCCTTTTTCGACATTCAAGGTCACAGGCGTCATATGTTTAAATCTTTTAATAGGTTCTGATGAATCAATCACTGATATTCTGCCTGTAGCTGTTATTTAGTCCACTATTAAGATTACAAGTGTGAGATTAATACCAGATGAGTGATACAGGCCCATTGGGCCTCTTGTTGAAATTGGGAATACATATGCCTAGGGCAAAATAATGCATTTTTTAGCTAGGGGAAACAACCTGTATTCGGCTGTAAAACTGAGCACAAAAAATACTATTGTAAAATCTAAAGCCCCTGGCTCCAAAATAGTAAGGAATAAAAACAAAACTGCATAATGTAAACAAAGTTTGTAGAGAGGACCACATCACACAGTTAGCAATGTGCTGACCTATTAACCTCAAGGCATACGTTTGGATCCTGGTTGTGTTGAATGTGTGTTGTAATCCATTCATTGAATTTCAATTAAAGTTTCTAACAGTTTTTGCCTTGATATTAGATTATAAAATCACAGTGCTATGGAAAAGTTTAATTAATAAAAGATATTTTTCAGACATATTTTATGTTCAGTGATATGTCCTGTTCATTTTAGAAGAAGAAAGATACCAAGCTCTAACTATTCCTGGGAATTCCCTTTCTATTTTTAGATGTTTTAATTTTTTTCCCATTGACCCATACATCTCAATAGAAGCTGCATAAATGGAATTAGTCACACTGCTGAATTCAATGTATAGAGTGTCTCTTGTCAGCCCATATAGTTTATAATGAAAATGAATGTTTAAGATTTTTTTTGAATTTTGGGATGAAATTTCATATTGTAAGGGTCAACAGGTATAAATGTCTTGAGTGGAAGGCACAGATAGGTAGTTATTGTTAGTCGGCAGTGTATTGCACTGTAGTGCTTTGTCAAGTTGGAATGTGACATTTAATATACCTGGTGTTTTTTGGTATGCCATCTTTTCCGGCCTGCTCAACTTAATGTTACTTCTTAGAAAGAATGAAACCCCCAAATTTGTACTTTATTTGATATAAAATTTATACTAAATACAGATTATATTTTAAACGGAGGCTGTAGTGTAGGCCAGCAGAAAATCAGTTGTTGTTTCGGTTATAAATAGAAGTTAAATGATTGAACATTTTGATGACAGGGGCTGCTTTCCAGTTCAAAATCTAGGGTACAGAATACACATAGTAATGTGGAATGAATTATAATGGAGGCTGTTAGTCTCCTCTGTAATGATGGGTAGTATACATATCATTACTCTGATGAATCAGCTGTGAGGAATTTGTGGTGTATTCAAAATTTTAGCCCCGAGATATCGTCTGGTAACATCCTACGTTATTTGGACAGTGTGACCTGTTTGTAACAGTCATCTGTTATTTCACCATGAAGCTCATTGCAATCAAACTTACTGAACTTCTTTCTGAACAGAAATACAATGGAATGCCTGAAATTTAATTATAGGTCTTCTTAACCAATTCTTAAACCGTTCTTGAAATGTCTTTCAGAATAAACACAGAAATTCTTTTTGAAAGAAACAGAAGACATCAGATTTGTTTTGATATTTTATAGCATAACATATTGCAGATCTAGAGTAATGGTACCAGTCTGTGTACAGTATATGTACTTACCACATTGACAGATCAGATCTAGAGCAGTGGTACCAGCCTGTGTACAGTTTATGTACTTACCACATTGACAGATCAGATCTAGAGTAGTGGTACCAGTCTGTGTTCGGTATATGTACTTACCACATTGACAGATCAGATCTAGAGTAGGGGTACCAGTCTGTGTACAGTATATGTACTTACCACATGGACAGATCAGATCTAGAGTAGTGGTACCAGTCTGTGTACAGAATATGTACTTACCACATGGACAGATCATATCTAGAGAAGTGGTACCAGTCTGTGTACAGTATATGTACTTCCCACATGGACAGATCAGATCTAGAGTAGTGGTACTAGTCTGTGTACAGTATATGTACTTACCACATTGACAGATCAGATCTAGAGTAGTGGTACCAGTCTGTGTCCAGTTTATGTACTTACCACATTGACAGATCAGATCTAGAGTAGTGGTACCAATCTGTACAGTATATGTACTTACCACATGGACAGATCAGATCTAGAGCAGTGGTACCAGCTTGTGTACAGTATATGTACTTACTACATTGACAGATCAGATCTAGAGTAGTGTTACCAGCCTGTGTACAGTTTATGTACTTACCACATTGACAGATCAGATCTAGAGCAGTGGTACCAGCCTGTGTACAGTATATGTACTTACTACATTGACAGATCAGATCTAGAGTAGTGGTACCAGTCTGTGTACAGTATATGTACAGAAAACAGTTTTACATCCCCTAGGGTTCATTATAAACTTGTTTTCTTGTTTTTTATTGAATGAAAGTATATTCAAAACAAAATAAACTGTTGCTTTAAGATGACTAATAGGTAATGGATAAAAATATTTTTTTATGTTTTAAGAAAATGTTTCAAGCATGTGGTGTATTTTCATGTAAACATAATTAAAACCAAATGAAAATGGAAAGAAATTATTTTGAAAAACAAAGGCAAATGCCATCCGCTTTGCATATATTCCTATACATGTATTACCAAAACACTACGATAATACATAAATTAATTTCTCTTGTAGGATCATTACATCCTGAAAATGCACATCAAGATGGTACACATGCCAGCTGAGATCCTGTTCGAGTGCACTGTCTGTTCAAAGAAGTTCACAAGGAAGGCCCACTTAAAGCGCCATCTACGGATCCATGAGCCTGAAAAACCCTTCAAATGTCCTCACTGTGATTACAGGTACGCAGGTGTAACTCGTTATCTTGTAGACATGGAACTAGGTATCACTCACTAGTTTGACTCGGACAGGTATGATGGTACAGGTGTATTTTTCTATTCATCTTGATGTAGACATGTACTTGAAGAACTTGTACATTCTTCATCAGTCATACCTGTGGGAAACAACTTAAAGGTAAAAAATCTAGGTGTCTATATACCATAAAATGGAGGGATACAGTGATGTCATGTCTCTTGGCCCATATACACTCCATTGGTCAGTTGTCATCACTTAACCATCACTTAACCACACATTGAGTTTTGATGACACTTCATACACGTGTTCATTACTAACATGCAACAAAAAAGGGTCAAGGTCACTGCTGTAATAAAATACATTTTTTTTGGGCGAGTACAAAAATTATTTCACAGGCCTAAATGAATATTGGTAGCCCAATTATTTTTTTCACCTGGTAGGAATTTACAACTGCAGACGACTTTGTTATATTTAGATAAAAAAAAAAGATTACTTTGTTATATTTAGATAAAAAAAAAAAAGACTTGGGGTTCATTACCTGATAAGTCTAAAAATTTTGCCTATATGGTTAAAAATACAGTTTCTTTGGATTGTGTGTGAAAAAAATACAATAACTCGCGTGACATCGCACAATACACACGCTTTGGCGAGAATTGGTCGGCAACCGAGTACTGGTGATACGGCAGACCAAACAACATAAAATAGAACCTTACAGAGAAGAAAACTTATGACTTATAAAAATACATTAGTTAACTTACTTAAGTCCCCAGCCCTTGTTTGTATCCACCAAGTTGACTGTTTGTGTCAATTCTGATGCACTTGCACATTTTAACGGCGTGACCCAGAGTACAGGATTTCCGAAAATGGGTGTTCCGAAGTTGGGGTGGTTAATTTATGGGAGTAACCTACGATTTTGAGAATAATAATGTACTCGACGAATGATTTATTTTTGGACCAATAACTATCCATCTTTTGACAATTTCTAGTCGCCCAATCAAGGTTTTGGTCGCCTTTGGCGACTGGCTGTGTCCTACACTGAAATACAACATATTTTTCCTAGTTCTACTGTAGTCTCGCAAAGGAAAAAATGTCCTAGTTCTACTGTAGTCACACAGAGGAAAAAATGTCCTAGTTCTACTGTAGTCTCACAGAGGAAAGATTGTTCTAGTTCTACTGTAGTCTCACAGAGGAAAAAATGTCATAGTTCTACTGTAGTCTCACAGAGGAAAAAATGTCCTAGTTCTACTGTAGTCTCCCAGAGGAAAGATTGTCATAGTTCTACTGTAGTCTCACAGAGGAAAAACTGTAATAGTTCTACTGTAGTCTCACAGAGGAAAAAATGTCCTAGTTCTACTGTAGTCTCACAGAGGAAATATTGTTCTAGTTCTACTGTAGTCTCACAGAGGAAAAAATGTCCTAGTTCTACTGTAGTCTCACAGAGGAAATATTGTTCTAGTTCTACTGTAGTCTCACAGAGGAAAAAATGTCCTAGTTCTACTGTAGTCTCACAGAGGAAATATTGTTCTAGTTCTACTGTAGTCTCACAGAGGAAAAAATGTCCTAGTTCTACTGTAGTCTCACAGAGGAAATATTGTTCTAGTTCTACTGTAGTCTCACAGAGGAAAAAAATGTTATAGTTCTACTGTAGTCTCACAGAGGAAAGATTGTTCTAGTTCTACTGTAGTCGCACAGAGGAAAAACTGTAATAGTTCTACTGTAGTCTCACAGAGGAAAAAATGTCCTAGTTCTACTGTAGTCTCACAGAGGAAATATTGTTCTAGTTCTACTGTAGTCTCACAGAGGAAAAACTGTCATAGTTCTACTGTAGTATCACAGAGGAAAAATTGTCATAGTTCTACTGTAGTCTCACAGAGGAAAAAATGTCCTAGTTCTACTGTAGTCTCACAGAGGAAATATTGTTCTAGTTCTACTGTAGTCTCACAGAGGAAAAAATGTCCTAGTTCTACTGTAGTCTCACAGAGGAAATATTGTTCTAGTTCTACTGTAGTCTCACAGAGGAAAAACTGTCATAGTTCTACTGTAGTCCCCAGGGGAAGATTGTTCTAGTTCTACTGTAGTCTCACAGAGTAAAAAATGTCATAGTTCTACTGTAGTCTCACAGAGGAAAAATTGTCATAGGTCTACTGTAGTCTCACAGAGGAAAAACTGTCATAGTTCTACTGTAGTCTCACAGAGGAAAAATTGTCATAGGTCTACTGTAGTCTCACAGAGGAAAAACTGTCATAGTTCTACTGTAGTCCCCAGGGGAAGATTGTTCTAGTTCTACTGTAGTCTCACAGAGTAAAAAATGTCATAGTTCTACTGTAGTCTCACAGAGGAAAAACTGTCATAGTTCTACTGTAGTCCCCAGGGGAAGATTGTTCTAGTTCTACTGTAGTCTCACAGAGGAAAAACTGTCATAGTTCTACTGTAGTCTACCAGAGGGCAGTGTGTGTATGCTACAAATTTAAACAGGAATGACCCTTGTTTTGTTCAGGGTGACAGAAGTCAAATTTGTGAAAAGAATAAACAACTTTTTCTCGAGAACGAAATGGCCTAGAGTCATGATATTGGACTAGTACCTTACTTGCTTTCATGCCATACCACAAATTTTGCAAACAAAATTGACTTTGGCATATTTTCAAGGTCACAGGGTTCAAAATGTATTTTAAAAAAAAGTTAGTAGTTTTAAATACAGAAAGTTTAGTTATCTAAGTTAGAACAAATGGTGGTTTTATTTTTGTTACAGCTAGTGAAATTAGTAAAATGATGTTTGGCTTATGGAACTCTGTTGAATACTTATTGAGTATTTGCCAGAAACTTAGTCCATCAGACAGGTTGGAGAGAAATCAATGTTGTGCTCTCATTACAGATAGGAGAAAAGCTGTAGGCATTTTTGATGTGTTTAGATATAATATATATACATAGTTATGAGTTTATTTTCCTGTCTGAAGGTGTGTAGATCATCATAAGGAACAAACAATTAACAGGTTTGTCAGATGTGTACCTATGATTAGCTCAGGCAGCCTAATCTTTAGGGAGGTGTAGATATGAAATAAGTATTGGACCTATTCCCAGGTTTTTCCCTGTTTAACAGTAGTGCTGAACTGAACATCATCAGTTAAATCCATAAAAGAGGGCAGGCTAAATACCAAACAAAGGCTTTTCACTTACTTAGAAAAAATAAATAATTCAAAATGTGTGATCACGGCATTTGTGGGGGGGTAGAGGCATTAGGTTATTGTGATATTTGTATTCATGTCGGAGAAAAACCCTTTCCCAGCTGATGTGAAATTCCGACCTTTACTTTGCCGTTTACCTGTTGGGATCAGACAGGTGTTTTTTTTCAAACAGAAGAAATGTACTAGTGAATCAGTGCATTGTATCAGTCGTTATTATCCGACTTAGATATATCTTACACTTTTTTCCCACCGGTAATGTATACAATTGTCACATTTCCTGTCACATCAAATGGTGAAAATAGTCTGAATTTCAACTTCATCACATATGACTCAATACAGTACTTGGTTTGTTTATAATATCAATTCACGATCAAATATTTAAATCGTTTGTCATGGTATGAAAGCAGTAAGTGTAACAATATATTGGGGAGCTTTTATTTAAAAGCTGAAATATCATTTTGGCAAACACGGTCTTTGTTAAATATTTCCTCAAAAGGCTTTTAAACATCTTATAAAGAACATATCTTTTTTACATAAAAGTTAGCTTCCTGTAAGTTTCATATGAGGATTTAAAGAAAATCAGGTTGTTTTTTTCTTTGTACATGTATATAGGTAAACATGGAAACAGATAGGTATAAGTTAAGATTAATGACCCACAGATGTTTCTACCTCTCAATGAAAAAATGCTGATACCTAGTAGTTAAGATTTTTAAAGGAAACGAAATATGGTATTTAAGTTCATTATAATTCCCCTAAGTACCCTGCCTGTCTGCCAGGGTGTATGGAGCCTGGTATTTGGGAGGTCAGGGGTCACTGGTCAGTCGGCTGGGCACAGGTTAGGGCGGTTATTACCTTGTTAGAGAGGGCAGGTAGGCAGGAAGCTGCAGATAATGTTACAAGTCACTGAGTAGAGGTGAAGTCAGGCCACACCAAAAATGTTTATGGTTAACCATGCATTCTACTGTATTGTGAGACCCTATAGGCAGCTCTGAGCTGAACTTCATAATTGATAATAATTCTAATCATATTTGATCATCAGTGAAGTAAAATATTAGGAGTTATTTATATTTACAACTATAAACTAGATCTGTTTTTAGGCTGTTGAATTCAAATCCTACAATGTCATCATGAAAGTTGTATGACTATAGGACCCCACGATTGGGTCTGTATGGCCAAGGTCAAGGTCACATTGAGGTCTAAGGTTAATTTCATTGTCCAGGCCATAACTTGACTTGCAGAAAATAGCTGTATGACATTTAACAGACATACGTAGATATATGCAAGGCAGTGTGTCGCATGCTAATCTTTGGTATGCACACACAATGTCAAGGACACATTGAGGTCACAGGTCAGATTCATGCTATAAGTTTCTGTCTCATAGAATATTGCTGTATGAAATTTTATTTCAACATTTGCGGGATGGCAAGGGCGGTGTGTTGCATATGCCACAATTGGGTACGTACTCCAAAGGTCAAGGTCACTTTGTGGTAAAGAATAAAATTAATTTTCCTGTCCATAACTTCATATTCACTGAAGATATAAATCTCAGTGAAATTCAGGGATACATGTCGGTTGGTAAGGCAATGTGTAACTTTGATGTTCGTATCCCCAAGGTCAAGGTCTGTACACTTCATTCCAGTCTCGATGACGTTTTCCATCAATTAATTTACTGATTTTCCTGTTATTAAGATTAGATGTACTATCTATTAATGAAAGTCTGTGTGTTTAAATGGAGAAATTTAATAAACATAATATTCTTGGTTTCTTTATTAATAGCTCTTATATTCAGTATGAGTTTGAAATAT